TTTCCTTTATTTTGGGGGGCACGTTCTGTATGAAAGATTGTAAACAGTAAAAAAAAACGGTAAAAAAAAAATTATTGAAGAAAATTACTATGTCTACACGTATGTCTACCTGAAATTACTTGAAGTGACAGCTGGGAAATCGCAACTTATTACTGTACACGTAAATGTCATGTATGCTAAATGAAAATAATTCCTTATTTTGTTTAAATTTATTGATTTTATGTCTATTTATAAATTATGAGTTATTTAGACAGTATCAATCATTATAGCAGCAGGATATAAAACTTGTTTGGGCTCGTCAAGGGCTCGAGAACGGAACTTATTTTCCCCCATAAGTTATTAATATCATTATGCGATCGATCACTTAGCGATGGCTTTTTGAGGTCCCTAACCTCATCGTATAATGATCATTGCCTGTCTTCTGCTTTCTGTTCTACAGTATATTAAGAATGGATGGGAGTTTGTTATTCAGTATACAATTTCTATGTGAGCACCCTTAGTTGCTTGGAGGACACCTAAATGATAACATATCTGGTGGGCTTGTGGAACTATCACTGATGATTCTGTTGTGCCAGTCCTGAAGACTCATATTAGGTTTAATAATTCTGTTGTTAAAATCCTGAAAACTCATAACAGGTTCAGTGATTCTGCTGTGCAAGTCCTGAAGACTCATATAAAGGTTCACTGTACATAAAGTTTTTCAAGGAACAAGTGTTCAGCCTGTCTAGAGCAATCCATCACCCAAGAAAATGTGTACCAAGGTGTCACATACTAAAGGACCAGTGTGGGGGTGTCCCATTCTTTTGAAATACAATACTGTATTCTGTTGTAGTTCCTAATGCTATGGAAGCACAAACTGTTCCAACATATCCAGGTACATGATCCTAGTCAATGTCTTTTAAACAAAATAGAAATGTCTGATTATGTGGTCAAGCATACTGCTAGGATGTCCTTCATGTGCTCTCACATGACAAATGAACTGTCACTTCATCTCATTATTGATTAACAATTAGCTGTCATCCAAGAAACTAAGGGAGCTCAGGTAGAAATTATATTAAAACTCCCACCTGTCACTAAGTGTCACATGTCTATTTGTTCAGGTGTTTTTGCTGCTACAGTTTGTGCCATTATTTTGTATACACCTTATATAGTGTAGGGAGAACTGGAAATAGATGGGATAAGTGGGAACTATTGAATGCTGTCCACAGACTGGTTTGTTAGAAAATGAGTAACTAGTTCCCAATGGAAACAAGATCATGTTCCTCATGTGTAATACCACCACTGGAGTTTAATATTTTCATGGATGGGTTTTTAAGAAAGGTGAAAGCAAGGGTGATGGACAGAGGGGCAAATTTGGTGAAATATATAATGTATATGGGAAGCAAGTTAGATACTATTTGTGAATAACACTGTTCTAGAGAGTAATTCAATCAAAAAGTTACAAATGAGTCTGGAAGAATGTGTACTAGAAGTTGACAATGAATATGAACAAAAGTAAACGGGTGAAAATAGGTACAGTGGGGTATGCTATAACGAACGGATCCTACTATGAATATTCCTATAACGAACGGTTTTACCTAGAAAATTGAGAATGCTATAACGAACGCAACTCCTACAACGAATGCGTATGAATACCGGATTATTTCGCCTGGCGCATGAATATTGTTGTACCGCGACCCACAACAAGAGCGTCAGGCGCCATCTTTGTCTCATTGTGTAGCCAGTGCACCACTGTTATTGTTGAAATTTCGTCTTTTGATGTGGAAATAGAGTTATTTGTATAAATATTTTGTTATACAAGTGTACAATTGTGACAATGAATCGTCCAAAGCGAGTGAGAAAGCTCATAACTCTTGAAACTAAGAAAGAAATCATAAAGAAACGTGAGGATGGAACAAGCATTGCGAAACTTAGTGATGAGTATGGGATGGCTAAATCGACTATATGTACAATTTTAAAGAATAAAGAGGAGTTGAAAACAGTGCAAGTGGCTAAGGGAATCTCTAGACTTAGCAAAGCAAGGTGTAATGTGATTGAGGAGATGGAAAATTTACTCTTAGTGTGGATAAAGGAGAAAGAAATGGCAGGTGATAGCATTAGTGAAGCTATAATTTGTAAGAAGGCCAGACAATTGTTTGAGGACCTTAAAGCCAAGACTCCCAGTGCAAGTGATAGTGATGTGCCAGTGTTTATGGGTACCAAGGGGTGGTTTACTGGTTTCAGGAGAAATAAAATACATAGTGTTGTGAGACATGGTGATGCTGCTAGTGCCGATAAGGAAGCCGCTAAGGAACACCATGACATTTTTTTTGAATATTATTAAAGAGGGAGGCTTTGTTTCTCAGCAGGTATTCAACTGTGATGAAACTGGACTTTTGTGGAAATAAATGCCTTGCCGTACATACATTACCAAGGAGGAAACTTGTCCCTGGCCATAAGCCAATGAAAGACAGGCTTACCCTCCTTCTTTGTGCTAATGCTTCTGGTGACTGCAAAATAAAGCCACTCCTTGTGTACCATGCAGAAAACCCCAGAGCTTTAAAAAACACTAGGAAGACCCGCCTTGGTGTTATGTGGCGGTCAAACCCAAAGGCTTGGGTGACCAGGAATTTATTCTCTGAGTGGGTGATTGAGGTGTTTGGACCCAGTGTTCGGGAATACCTCAGGGAGAATAATCTTCCACTGAAAGCTTTGTTGGTGATGGACAATGCACCAGCCCACCCTCCTAATTTGATGGTTGAATTGCCAAAGGAGTTGAACTTCATCACTGTGCACTTCTTGCCACCCAACACAACACCTCTCATCCAGCCCATGGATCAACAGGTAATTTCTAACTTTAAGAAGCTGTACACAAAGGCACTGTTTAGAAAATGTTTTGCGTCCACTTCTTCCAGTGATGTTAGCTAGAAGGAATTTTGGAAGAGTCACTTCAATATAGCAGATGCTGTATTTTTAATTACCTCAGCCTGGAAAGAGGTTACTGTGAGGTGTCTTTGTGCTGCTTGGAGGCCATTGTGGCCTGAATGTGTCCTTCAAAGAGACTTTGAAGGCTTCGAAGAGTTAGAAGAAGAGGCTGTTGCTCATGAAATTGTGGCTCTGGGCAATTCCATGGGCCTGGAAGTGGATGATGATGATGTTGAGGAGGTGGTGGAAGAGCACAGTAAGGAATTGTCCACTGAGGAACTGCTTGAGCTTCACAAAGAGGAAAACGAGACACTGAAGCGGAGCTTAACTTCTGAGGAGTCAGGGGAGGAGGAGGACAAGGAGGAAAGCCGCATCATTCCAGCCAAAGATCTCAAGGATGCATTCTTTTGCTGGAGCAAACTGTCCAAGCTTGCTGAGGATTATCATCCTGATGTTGGTTCTGTGCAAAAGGCCATCAGTGTGTTCAATGACAATGTTATGAACTACTTTTGGAAGGTCCAGAAATCAAGGTTGAAGCAGCCAACCCTGGATTCCTTCTTTACAAAGATAACAAAAGAACCTACAGACAAAGTGCCTGTGAGACAGTCACCAAAGAGGGCTAGGAAGGATGACTCCTCTCCTTCCACCTCTTCTCAATAATTCTCTCCTCCCCCCTCCCCCTCTGCCTCCTGTCCTGCATGCTGAACAACACTAAGGTAAGATAAAGTACCGTAATTTTTACATTTTCCACAGAATTTTTTCAGTGTTAAGTGGTTGTATTTGGGGGCCTGGAACGGATTAATCCTATAACGAACGAATGCTATAACGAACGAGGTTCTGGAACCAATTACGTTCGTTATAGCATACCCCACTGTAGATAAGGAAAAGTGAGAAAAAATTTTTAAACTGTAAGAACACAGAAAGGAGGAAATGAAGCACCAGGGGTACTTTAGAAATCCAGGAAAGGAAACAATGAGCAAAGAATTAAACCAGAGTAACAAATAAATGAAAGTAACAGATGTATTAAAACATGTAGACATAACTGTATTAAAGGAGGTAAATATGGGGACATAGAAGGGAAATGGGAGGAATGTTGAGCTGATATGATGCGGGCATGAAGCCTAGACTCTGGATGCAAGGGAAGGTGCTAGTTAGAAGTGAGAAAAAGGAAATTCTTTACAGTAATATCTCTGAGAACATAAGTACAAAGGCCAGGAGGACTGTCTAGAACAAAATATATATACAGAGGAGCAATAATAATTGTATAGCAAATTCTTTGGGGTGGAATATCATCTAGATACCAACACCTGTCATCGCCTACCATTCACAATATCACCTTGGCAACAGTGGGTACACGACCCTGTAATACTATTCAACCCTGATAATATCCATCCTCACACCTAGTGAATCCACAGTCTCACATTACACATCATGGTGAGACATACACATAGTGACTGGGGAATGAAGGTATAGGGGTGTAGTGTAGACATCAGAATGCACTAGAAAAACAGCTAAAGTTAGGCTTTTTGTGCAGGTCACATTAATACTGTACTCACTATAATGTGCTGTTAGACTCATTACATTTCACTAGAGATTGATATATGTCTTACACCGATAACTTAATCAAAGCCTATGAGAGACAGTCTTAAAAATAATTTCTCTGAGTCCTCAATTCTTGGCCAAGCACATTATTCCCTTAGATCCCCAACCACCACATTTGCTAGATTTCAGATGCTCTTTGAATTATTCTCCTAGCTCATTTAGGGGCCAAGAAATTTAGTAGTACAATAGCCTCTGAAAATGGGAGGGTGGGGGGAAGGTCATAACTTTTGAACTGAGACTGTGATTGAGCTAATATTTCAGATCTAGTGTTTTCAAGTATAGACCACTGCCATACACCAAGTCACCATAGAAAATCTTAGTGAATGTAATGCAAAATTCCATGTTTTTGGCATGATTTGTCATGGGCTCACTCTGTTGTCTTTTGTTTTGCAAAAAATAAACGTCACTTTTTTTTTATTAAACCGATAAATGTGCAAGATCTTATAGGTATCACAGTAAAAATATAGATTTGTGGAATAGCCCACAAAATTTACCTCTGTCTGGTGAGAAGAATCCCGGGAACAGTTTCCTTTCACTCCCAACTGCTTTTGCAACAAATCCTTGGGAATCCTTAGGTGGTGAAGAAGCTTTGAAAAATGATATTCCTCCTTCTTTTGGGGGTGAGGAGCTGACTCTCTTTATTCCTGAGGAAACGAAAGAGAGCATGGTAGGAAGTCCACCCTGGCGAGTAATATCTAACACCATTTTGTCATGTGCTTCAGCTTTCTTCTTTGCAATCTGAAATAAAAAATAATAATAATTTTTCCCTTTCATGACATATAAATTTTTTAAAGAAAACCCAGCATAATTTCATCAATAATTAAAAATTAATAATTATTCTAGACAATAACAGCCTCAATTAATGAAAATAACAGCTTGACTAAGAGCAATCTGACAGTGGCTTCTTAAATGGATAAGGTCAGAGGCATACAGTACAGTACATGTACTGTACATGCAAAAGCATACAGATTGACAAGGTGGAAATATATCTCCCACTTTGAATAGAATGAAACCCATTGAAAATGAAGTACTGTATAAGCTGATTCTATAAACTTTTATGTGATATCAATGGGAAACAAGAGCAACAGGAGAGAATACAAATGTGCATTTATTTAAGGTTTCTGAGCTAAAAAGAAATTTAATCAAGATAACAATGGCAATGAAATAAGAATTATAATACAAAGATATGAGCTAAATGTGCAAGATTGATCTTTCATTTAGATATACAGACATGCGCCAGTTAACGTCGTAGATACGTTCTTGGAAACGTGATGTTAACCGAAATGGACGTTGTCCGAAATTACATAAACCTATGGGATTTATTCTAATTGGTTCCAGGCACCCAGCCCCAAGTTTCCCATTTTACGACCATTTAGACCCACTAAAATATATATATATATATATATATATATATATATATATATATATATATATATATATATATATATATATATATATATATATATATATATATATATATATATATATATATATATATATATATATATATATATATATATATATATATATATATATATATATATATATATATATATATATATATATATATATATATATATATATATATATATATATATATATATATATATATATATATATATATATATATATATATATATATATATATATAGTCAACCCTCGCTTTCGGTCCCACTTTCGCGTTTCCACGTTTACGCGGTACCCTGCGAACACGGACTGCTCACTTTCCGGGTGTGTACCCTTTGCGGAGAGCGCGCGAGCAGGGTGCACACAAGGTCGCCCAGTCATCAAAACATTACCGAGTTCTTCACCCGCCACCCAACACAGCCGGCCCAAGTCAGTGATAGTGATAATTATAGTGAGGATATGGACTTATATGGACTTTGAGGGGTTTGACAAAGAGGCCCTGCAAGCCTCTGTGGTGGATAGTGATACAATTGATACAAGTGATACAGGTGAGGGCCAATAATCTGCCCTCTGCCTCGGAACCAACCCCCCATCCCCGTGAGCGCCACAGCTGCGCAGTGACAACAAGCGACCACAAGGATCCCACTTTAAAAAGCGCAATCAAACTGTGACAACGCATGTAATTTTGAGTCCTACTCTTTCCATTTACAGAGTACTGTACAAGCCCATAATAATGGCTCCTAAAGTAGATAAACTTCGTTGTGTGAAGAGAAAGAAGAACACGTTGATACTGAGTGACAAACTTGAAATAATTAAGAAACTAGAACGTGGTGTAAGCAATACTGTTCTAATGGAAACATACGACATTGGAAAGTCTACAATTTATGATATAAAAAAGGCAAAGAATAAAATTCTAGAATTCACAGCTTTTTCTTTAAAACTGCTCGTTTTGATAAATGAAGCATGCTATATTTGCTAATGAATAAGCTATCAAAATGTACCTGTTCATCTCTTGTTTATTCCTCCTTAAATTTAAAATTTAAAAGTACTGCCTCAGAATCCGGAAAATCCGAAAATCCGGACCGACCCAATCCTCAAGCAGTCCGGATTTTTGGACTAGTTCCCTGTACTATGCAGTACAGGGAACTAGTTAGTTGTGCACCCATCAGATGCGTGGGTCGGCCACCAGGCGTCAGTCTGGCTTTGTTTACAATTGAGAGAGCAATAATTTTGTTGTTATCTTGAATATTTTTGCATTTTTCATTGAAATTATTGGTCATTCTGAACTTTAGTTAACATATTGATAATATATAGTGCAGTGTTGATTTAAAGAAAATAATCTTGAATTACACCTAGTGAACTTAAAATTTTATTGGTGAAATGACGGCATCAAGCATGGGTCCCCTGAAAGGTGATTTCTCCTCCATCCCCACTTCCTTCTCTTCTCCCTTCTCCTCCACCTCTACTTCTAATTCTCATCATCAACCAGGAACCTTCTACATACTGTACACACCTCAAAGTAAGTGTACTTTACTGCATTTTTTTTGTACTTTGTATGTACTTTTCGGTGAGCTGGAACCAATTACCCAATATCCCATTGAAACAATGGATTCGGTTAATGAAATTTTTGGTTAACAAACGACCTTCTGGAACAAATTGTGTTCGTTAACCGAGGGACCACTGTAATGTACATTATTGTGGAGTCCCAACCCCAACTATAATGGGTGACAGCACTAACTACTGTTCTGCAAATTACACACATGGTCAGATTTTCTCTCTCTTGTCATTTGTTTCTGAAACCTCCCAAAAACTGGAAAACAGGTGGAATGGTCTAGTGCTTAAGCCAGTACCGATGGATGACATTGGTCACTCTTTGAATTTTATGCATGTGACTCCTGATAGTTTACAGTCTATAATTCTTTCAACATTATCCATACATCTAAAAAAGGTGACATTTCTTTCTGCAATAATTTCCTGCATCTTACTTATGGCTCATTCAACTCAGATTTTATACATAAATTTCATTAAGATACAAACCCCAACTTACACTCAAAATTTTTCGGTAAAAAATATCTACAAAATAATTACAATCATTCCTTTTTCTTTAATTAAAGAACATAAACTTGTTCACAAAGATTAATTTAATTCTTCATACAGTGGTCCCTCGGTTAACGAGCACAATCCGTTCCAGCAGGTTGGTCGTTAACCGAAACCATTGTTTCAATGGGTTTTTGGGTAATTGGTTCCAGCTCACCGAAAATTGCCTAAATTCAACAAAAAAGGTAGAAAAGTACACTTACTTTGAGGTGTGTATGTAGAAGGTTCCTGGATGATGATGATGATGGGAATTAGAATGGGTGTGGAGGAGAAAGGAGAAGAGAAGGCATTGGGGTGGAAGAGAAGTCACCCCATGGTGCCATTTCACCCATAAAATTTAGTTCTCTTGGTGTAATTCAAGATTATTTTCTTTAAATCAACACTGCACTGCATTATATATTGTCAATATGTAAAATAAATTTCAAAATGACCAATAATTTGCTTGCAAACACAGAAAAAAGCATTTAGTTGAAGAGAGTCTCAAGCAAGATGTTACCTCCACTGAAAAGAGAGAGACTAGCGCCTGTTTGGTGTGTTAACAGGCTGGATGGCGCGCCAGAAACTAGTTTCTTTACCTTCACTTATGTTCAATAATTGTTAAAATGACTAAAAAAGTTAATATTAAACATTTAAAATTATTGAATAGTATAAACTTCTTGATATTTACTAAAATAGTAAGGAATTTAAGCCCTAAAACCGATTACTATATTAGCGGAGTACAGTAATACTACAGCTGGTGGACCGCCAAATGCAAGCAAAAACATGTTGAGGTCGGCTCGTAAAAAACTCGTTAATCGAGGGACTGCTTGTTAACCGAAGTTAAGAATCTTATGGAAGGTAAATCGTTAACCGAAATCTCGTTAACCGAGGGATCACTGTAATTAAAATAAAATAAATCATACCTTTAGTGCTTCCCGGTACTCTTCCTCTGACTCTATGGGAAGCTGAAACGAACAAAATTATAATCAACATTTTCATAAATGATAAACTACATACAGTATTAGCATCTTCCCTCATTCAATATTAACTTTTGAAAATCTTAGTTAAACTAATTTTTTTCCTTAATATTTCTTGAGAGTTCACAGTACAAATCATGCCTTTAAGAAATGGCATTTTCATGCAAAATACTTCATAATTGACAGTACTGTACTGTATAACATTATCAAAATGTAAGAGGTTGTGCAGAATACATACCTTGTCACCTTCATCATCATTGTAGCTAACACAAATATTTTCTTGATGATTCATGCTCAGCAAGTTCTGAAACTGAAAATGAGAAATTAAGTTAACTATTGGTTGAGTTAATAATACTGTACCAGGTCTTTGAGTGAAGATAACTTATTTTATGAAGCTTGCTAGCTAACAAGGCAGTTCTCTAATTCTGTGACTGGGATTAAAATCCAAGAATCACCAAAAGATACATCCTTCCTTTTATTTCACCTAACCACCCCCAGGCAGCATTAGGGTGTTAAATCATCTGGGACAATAAGCTGGGGACAAAACTTCGGGTAATCCAATTCCAAAAATATATAGTACAGTACAGTACTATACGTACCCGTACTGTATTGTATATCTACTGGTGCCTATCAGTAACATAGGTCTCAAGACTAATTTTCTAGGTTTTGGTATCAGTCTGACATCTGCGATCTCAATTTTTTCGCTAGGGACCACAAATTTACCAGTACTTTACTTATTAAATTTCAGGTCATTTTGGAGGGAGGGAGAGGTTAACTGGATTTAGTATAGGCTCAAACAGGGGAAGTTACTTGACCCCAGGCCATTACTTTGACCACTAATTCATCAAAAGTAAGAAGTTCCTGGGTCACAGTCACTTTTCTTAGGCAAAGTAAACTGAGTGACAGATGTGACTCAAATTTGATTCTAGCAGCAGACAAAGGCCAAGTTTTCATTATGGTCAATCTGGCACTGACTCTGTAACTGTGCCTGTCTTTAGTGCTCCTGGTGAGCATATATTGTATCTAGCCATGGGGAAATAAAAATACGGCCTAACAGAAGCCAAGCATCACCAAATATTTTATACTGTACAGTACTGTACTGAGTATGTTGATGTTTCTTTGTGAAAAGATTATTTCTCATTTTTTTTAAATAAAAAAAAAATTTACCTGAATATAATAAAGGAGTCTGATGTAACAGATCAATCGAAGTAACATCCTCATATCTGAGGGTTGGCATGCAGTACTAATGTTTTTGGACTATTTTTACCAATCCTCCAAGATTTTGTATCTCTTTGGGGACTCATTGTTTTGAATTTCATTACTCTTTGAGGCAACTGCACAGTACAGTGTACTGTACAACACAGATCATATTATGTTAAAACAGCAATGAGCAAGTGAACAAGATTGTACAATGGCAGCAGACAATGAACTAAGTTTCATGATGCCAGAGTTTGAGGAGATAGGCTGCAAGATAATGTACATCAGCCAATCATAGGCATCCCATGCAGTCACGTGATAGTAGTGGCCATTCGCAGCTGACGAGGACTCTGAGCCTACCCACCCACTAGTATGCCTCCTTTAATCAGAAACAAGATACGATCTCTCTGAAATTCATTTGAATGTCCAAAGCAAGGAAATTTTCTCAGAATCTTCTAGAAATGCACTGATGCAATCTCTCAGAAATTTGTTCGGATACCCGGAATGAAGATTTTCCACAGATTTCTCGGAATGCTAAAAAAATTCTGGCTATTGGAAAGTTCCATCGATTGAATATTCCAGCTAACAGAGAGATTACTGTATATTAAATTACACTACTCATATTTATACAGTAAACCCTTGAAGATCCGGACCCAGGAAATCCGGACCAAAAATTAGGGGGTTCTGGGTTAAGAAGCCTCCTAGAAGTTTCCCAAACCAGAGCAAAGAACATTTTAGGCCCGTGGGTGCTGCTTGACCAGTCAGTTGCTTGGACACTGGTGCCCTAGGAGGTGGAAAACATAAACAGAGTTGACAATTGTTGTTTGTGGGAATATTATTTCATTCACTCTAGTAATGATGCAATGTTTCTCATTATGTTATCAGAGGTAAATGCATAGTTTATATACTGTAATTTGTTTATCACTACATTAGTACTGTATTTTTGGTGTTTCTTATATTATTTATTATTCGCCGGAAAATCCGGACAATCGACTTTTCCGGACAGGTGGTCCCCCCTTTTAGTCCGGATCTTCGAGGGTTCACTGTATCATGAATTTGAAAAAATAAATTACTGTATTTGGTTGCTGATACAGTCACAAAATCATACTACAGTACTGTATTTGACAAATATTTCCATGTTTTAAGATAACACTGCCCCTCCATCAGCTTTAGATTTCAACCCCTGAAAAATATACTGTATCCTGTACTGTACTTACATGAACCAAGACCTCAACTTTTTACCAAAAAGCCATCCTAAGAACTCAGCTTCAGCACAGACATAATACGGTACAGTACTGTACCTGTAAACTGTATAAATGTGGATCACCTGCACATTTGCCCTGCAAAGTGATTAACAGAAGATTCAATCTCCCCCAACTTAATCCATGTGAAGTTTAACCACCCGAATGCTAACTGAGTAGCTAATCTTTGGGTGATGATAGGAAGAATTTGTTAGGAATATTTCTGTGTAACAAGTTGCTGGTTTAGTGCATGTGTTGATGCTACTGAAGACCCATATACCTGTAGGCTTTCTCAATCAATCCCACATATTATAAATGATACAGTGGATTGAGTGACTCGTATAAGCTCAAGCTACCTAGTGGAGAGGAGAAGACTGAGGCATCAACTCAAAAGCTATAGCAAGAATCATATCCTTCATCTTGAGAACCTAATGAAAATAAGCTCTTGGTACTTAGCATTTTGCATAGGTTTACACTGTTCACAAACACACTGAACCAATTTGACTGATGCTGTTGATTATTAATATCTTTCAATCTATCACCTTTTGCTTATTCTTCCATGGCTTGTTTGGGTAAATCTCAACGACTGTGAAGTGAAACTTTCAATGATAAAATAGTAACATTCAATTTGACAATTACCAATACAATACAGATACTAGTTTGATCTTAAGTATAAAATGCAACTGTGAATTTACCTTCCTGTACTTTGGAATTAGCAATTAGGTGATGGCATCCTTGCCCTTAGTGAATTAACATAAACCATCACTGAGCTGGTCTGATTTCAGTAGAGCTGAACTTTGCAATACTGGCCCTAACGTTGGGTTATATTGCACTGTACCGTACACAAGTCATTAGTTTCTTTTTGCAAAATTCAAGACATCTTTCAGTGATACCTTGTTGATCTGCTGAAACACTAATGCAGTGGACACAATGGGCTATCAGAAGCTTCCTAAGTGAACTCAGTCATTCATTCCTTGCGCTACACTGGAACATTATTATTACTTCTAAGATGTTTCATGCGGCAGTGAAAGTCCCAGAGAAACCAAATCATTACTAATGCTGAGAGTAGTCGCTACATTATGTCTTTACAAAATAAAGTCGTGATCCTCCCAATAAATTTTGTCTAAGTTTAATAATTTCCAATTTGGGGGGCACCTCCTTGATAACAATCATAGCTACTAAAAGACACGTGCCAAAATTTTACACTTTATACCAATTTTCTTGTCATATAAAGTAAAGGTACTGTATTGAAAGTTATGTAGCTACTGTACAGTAAGATCTTGTATTTCGCGAGTAATATAAGACTGGAAAAATTGCGCCAAATTCAAATTCGCCAAATGCAAATACATAAACTAATGGGAAAAATAACAATATAGACTGGCCACTCTACATCAACCTCTGATTTTTCCATTTATAACCTCTAAATGATACAAAATCTGCTTTTATTGACCTGATTGTGCTTTCCGGAAACTAGTTTTTAGGCCTTCTTCAAGTAATTTAATTACACGCTGCTTATCCTGCATCGAGTACTTGGCAAGCTTAACTCCCTTATGATAGTTCCGCTTCTCCTTTGCCTTATTAGGCCACTTAGGTGGGTCTGTCCCACCCCCACCAGCACCAGTAAGACCCCCAGTAGAGGTAAAGGCCATTATCTTGACTCGACAGGTGGTAGCACCACCCAAAAAAGCACACAATAGTAGCCCGGGTGGTCGGTAGGATGGCGAGGGAGTAACTGGTATGAGGGCTGTGACATCGTACAAGTCGGTGACCAGCTGTTCTGTCTCATGTCCCATGAAATGATTGCTAAATGACAACCCAGTATTTAAAATTTCACTTATTATAATTATATTTATTTACTATATTCTTCAAACATACTGGTACAGTATAAAGGTGACACATTTCATCAGGGCAGTCATGAAACGGATGCAAGAGAAGTGTGTGGCTGCTGCCTATATACCCTGACATCACACGGGGGAAGGGAGAGTGCGGCTGACCAGTTACCAAAAATCATACTTATGCTGGAACATAAAATATTACAGCGTTCAGCTGGCTGGATCTCGCAAAACTCACAATATTTTATGCCAAATATAAGACTTGGTTACATTAGGTAATGCTCACGAAATTCAAAAACGCAAAATGAAATCGGGCAAAATATGAGATCTTACTGTATACAGTTTAGAAATTTTAGGAATATTTTATATATTAGAAAAGTAGAACTGTATCCCCAAAAAGATTGAGGAATTACAATTTTCATAAGTTTGTTATGATTAATGGGTAAATATGTCATCACCCAAGACACTATGTTTGTGCCTTTTCTGTTGAAAAACAATTACCAGCAACTGACTGAAAACTTCCCAGTGACCTTTCCACACTTTATCTAACCAAACCTACTTAGCCTAAGATAAATTAACAAACCAAACCTAACCTTATATAATACATAGTACAGTACTTCCATCCCAAGATAGGTACAGTAGGAGCTTATCTTACAACAAATCATATACAGTCAGTCCCCAAGTTATGAACAGATTACGTCCCTGGACCCTGTTTGAAAGTCAGAACAGTGTTAATTCCATAGTTCAGGTGAGGTTATAGCACAACCCTGCCTATACAAAATAATAATAATATCCCATACATAACAAGTATACTGTATAATGTAAATACAAGACAGTACAGTACTGTAAATAAAATTATGCAAAATAATATGAAGCCATGCAAAAATTTGATTTTAGTTACAACACTGCCCATACAAAACAACAATAATATCCCAAACATAACAATTAGTGTCAATTCTATAAATAAAGTGATGTTAGACAATCCCGTCGTAAGCGCGGGTGTTTGTAAGCTGGGAGTTCATAGCTCGGGGACTGCCTGT